TCTGGGCACCTCCCTGAGCACCCCAGGAACGAGCCACTCCTCCTGGGACCCGTTGCCCACACCAGGGAGCTGCAGCTTGGGGTCAGGAGTCGGCTTGTTTCTCCGAGGTCCCAGGGTCCGTCCAGTCAGCCCAGACTCAGGCCGTAGATGGGCAGAGGTCAGCCATGGCCTTGAGGGGCAGGCAGAGGACAGCCAGGTGCTGCTGCTGCTGCAGCCACCTTCGGCCCTTTAGAGGAGAAGGGCCAGACAATTGGTCTCTAAATAAATAAGCAGCTTCCACCTCATGGGGGTCCCGCAAACGAAGGACTTCCCCAAGGTCCCGTTGCAGAGGGACCAGTTCATGTTCCCAGGCTACTGGGGCCACAGCAGGAAAGGGAGGGGGGCGGAAGGAGCAGCCCTCTGGCCCACCCACCCCAGCATTAGAGTCCCTCCTCAGTCTGGCAAGAGATGGGAAAGCAGGGGCTGCCTGCTCCTCCCTGGAGGACGCAGGCCGGGTGGGTTTTCGGGAGTGAGTAAAGGTGCCTTGCATGTGCTCAGCCGGCTGAGGGTGCTCTGAAGACCAAAGTCCTTCCTGACTGTGGGAGCTACGGAGGGCCAGGGCTGGAGAAAGTGCGAGTGGGGGAAGACCAGGAAGCTACCTGCAAAGAGGATCCTGCCCGAAAACCCAGAGACCAGCCACTGCCCATCAGGGGTGCAGGACGAGGCAGCTTTCCCCCCCCCCCAAGATATGGGTGGAAGAGCGGGCATGGCGGGGCACCCCTGAAGGGCTCAGGGCAGAGGGGGACCCAGCGAACCCTGCTTTGCCAGGCCTCCAGAAGCAGGAGGTGCCAAGAAGCCTGCCCACAGAGCAGCCACAGGCATTTACAGATGCATTGCCTCTAAAGCCGGAGACCTCTAAGTCAGAGCTCAAGACCGTCCCTGCCCTCCTTTGGGATGGGGCTGTCATTCACCTGCCCCCTTCACGGGACAGAGTTCCTTTAGGGCCGTCAAGGAGGTGGCCCTCTAAGCAAAGGCTCTGCCTGTGAGGCCAGGGGCACCGTTCACTGAGCCCACCTCTTTCTGTCTCTCTCTCTCTCTCTCT